GATTCCCTCTTTAATAGATTGTGTTGGGAAAACTGGCTAGCATGTGCAGAAAGCAGAAACTGGACCCCTTGCTGACACCTTACACTTAAATTAACTCCAGATGGATTTAAAGACTTAAACATAAGACCTAACATCATAAAAACCCCTGAAGAAAACCTAGCCAATAGCATTCAGGACATAGGCATAGGCAAGGACTTCATGACTAAAACATCAAAAGCACTGGCAACAAAAGCCAAAATAGACGAATGGGACCTGATCAAACTCCACTGATTCTGCACAGCAAAAGAAACAATCTTTAGAGTGAACCGGCAACCAACAGAATGGGAAAAAAATTTTGCAATCTACACATCCGACAAAGGGCTGATATCCAGAATCTACAAAGAACTCAAACAAATTTACAAGAAAAAAAACCAAACCCATTCAAAAGTGGGCCAAGGACATGAACAGACACTTTTCAAAAGAAGACATTTATGAGGGCAGCAAACATATGAAAAGATGCTCATCATCACTGGTTATTAGAGAAATGCAAATCAAAACCACATTGAGATACCATCTCATGCCATTTAGAATGGCGATCATTAAAAAAATCTGGGGACAACAGATGCTGGAGAGGATGTGGAGAAACAGAAACACTTTTACACTGTTAGTGGGAGTGTAAATTAGTTCAACCATTGTGGAAGACAGTGTGGCGATTCCTCAAGGACCTAGAAATGGAAATTCCATTTGACCCAGCAATCCCATTACTGGGTACACATCCAAAGGATTATAAATCATTCTACTATAAAGACACATGCACACATATGTTCATTGCGGCACTGTTTAAAATAGCAAAGACCTGGAACCAACCCAAATGCTCAATGACGATAAACTGGATAATGAAAATAAGGCACAGATACACAATGGAATACTATGCAGTCATAAAAAATGATGAGTTTGTGTCCTTTGCAGCGACATGGATGAATCTGGAAACTGTCATTCTCAGCAAACTGACACAAGTACAGAAAAACAAACACCACATGTTCTCATTTATAGGCGGGTGTTAAACAATGAGAACACATGGACACAGGGAGGGTAGTGTCACACACTGGGCTCTTCTAGGGGGGAATAGAGGAGGGACAGTGGTGGGTAGGGAGGTTGGGGAGGGATAACATGGGGAAAAATGCCAGATAGAGGTGAGGGGAGATGGCAGCAACAAACCACATTGTCATGTATGTACCTATGCAACAATCCTACATGTTCTGCACATGTATCCCAGAACCTAAAGTGCAGTTATATATATATATATATATATATATATATATGTGTGTGTGTGTGTGTGTGTGTGTGTGTATATATGTGTGTGTGTGTGTATATATAATTTTTAATGTATATATATATCAAAAGAAATTTTTTAATAAAAGAAACTACATATTATTACAAAGAGAAAAATACTCTAAAATTAAAACAAAAAAAGTCTAAACTGAAGAAAATATCATAGAAAGTATTTCAGAAGTACTGTTTATTGATTTATAAGTAAACATATTTTAAACTGGGAAAATTCAGAAGTACTTTGATCAGCAACTTTTAAATTACTTGTACCTTTTTCTCAAGGATTTATTTTTCAGTGTCACAGGCAGTAGTCTCACCATTTGCCCAGACTGGGCTCAAACTTCAGGGCTCAAGTGATCCTCCTACTTTACCATTCCAAGTACCAGGGAAGGTAACATATTTTGCCCAGCTATATTGATCTTGTAGTTTAATAATATTGCCTTATTTTTAATTGCATTTAAAATAGCAGGTTTAAAGAGATTTATAATCAACTACTGTGTCCCTGATCTTGAAACTGAAACTGTACCAGAAAAGGTTTTCCAACATTTAATTAGGCAAAATTCTTTTCCAGCATTGCCATATTAGATAAGGTTACTACTCTAGGATTTCAGATCATGTATATGTCAATAAGTCATGAAAAGCTAACTTCATGAAAACTAGGATTCAGAAATATATATTGTATTCTTTATTTTTTCCAGAAATAGATCAAAACTTTGATGTTGGCAGTAACTGCTAGGGTATTTATAATCTTCCTCCTACATTACATATTAATCTTAAAAAACTGTGGAAAATAAATGTAAAATAAAAATTCTATTCATGATTAACTTACAGGAGTTAAACATTATTATGTTATTATGTTTTCCTACTGTTGTTGTTCATATAGTATGTAGAGGTGGCTAAAAGTATTCCTAACAGAGAGGCTGGGCTTCTTCACTTGTGAGCTCTGTGACTTCCGTTAGTTACTTCACTTCTCCCTGTCTTGGTTCCTTGTTTATAAAATATGAACAATAGGAGTATTTTCATTATACTATTATTTGAAGAAGAAAGTAATATATATTAATTACTCATGTATAATTACACATATATGTGTATTTAATATATTCTATTTACTTCTAAATATGTATATTGCCTTATAAAGTAATGCTTTCTATTGTTCTATTACTTTATAAATATGTATTATTTATAAATATGTGTAAATATTTATAAATATATATTTATGCTGTATTTCCAGCATAAACCATTATATATATTGTTTAAATATAAAACATGTAAAATAATGGTTATATATTAATATAATGTGTAGCACATGTATTAATTATATAATTATAATTAATATAGTATTTATATTATATATTGTAATATATAGTAATATATATTATATAATTATATTGTAATACATATATAGTATATTATTGTAATATATATTATTGTAATACATATATATTATATATTATTGTAATATATATTATGATTGTATAATATATATTACTACATATTACAATATGTAAGTATTTTATTAATTATATATTATATATTTATATTATATATAAAAACTTTATATATTTATATAATGGTTTGTCCTGAAAAAACAGTTCTGTATAATCTAAATGTAATTTTACACAATACCATTTAAGATGTATTTAATATAAATCTAATTGAGTGTTTTTCAAAGAATGATTTTTTAGTGCTTATGTAAGAAAACATTGTGAATTTATTTAGACATATCCCTATTTTGGTCATTCAGTAGATTTCCACCCTTAAAAAAAAAAAAAGAAAAAAAAAGTGGATATGTAGCCTTTGTTCTTATCTCTGATTTTCTTAATGCCAATTCCAGAAAGAGGAATTACTGGGTTAAAATAAACATAAATATTTTAAGAGTCTTTTATGTTTTCTGCTACAAAATTGCACTTTCTGCATACTTTTGTTGACAGTGATATTTTAAACTTTCAGAATGTATCTTTCCAATCTGGTGATGATTTTTGTGACCACCTGTGTGATACATAGTGTGTCCTCTGAATGTTAACTCAGGCCAAAGAGAACTATCAGTCTAATCCGCAGGCTCAAGGTGTATGTCTCTATGACTCCACTACTAGTTTTCACTATGCAGCTATCAGAGTATGTGAAAACAGTCAGTAGAATTTATAAAATGATGGTTAGGAATCTGAGTTATATTCCCCAGAGGTTTATGAACTATAAAATGGTATTGTTATTATGTTTTATCATTGCATTGTGCTCCTTAGCCATCTTCCATTTTATGTGGTATAGCTCCTTAGGATCCATTTGCTTGAAAGCTGTGTCTACTCATTTTGTATTGTATTGTGGTGAATGCTATAATCTACAGGGTTCCTATTCATTTTGGAATTCATTTCACAGCTCACTAATTGTGTGAATGCGAAGAGAAAATATATGCTTTTATTCTAAAGCATGCCAAGCAGATGGTCAAAGTTCATTGCTACCAGCACTGTCAGTGTGGATGTCTTCTCTAGGTAGTAAGCCTGGCATAGATCTGTCACACACAATGTGAGGGTCCATTTAACACAGCATTTGACAATCACTGAGCCTCTGTTTTGTAATGACTTATAAACATTTTATTTTTTTTATCATCAACTTCCAGAGTGGTCAGTCATTTGAGCAGGTGCAAACACAGTAGAATTCATATTCGTTTTACTTGAGAAGCTAAATGAAATTTTATTCATATGGAAATCTTGGGGAAAGAAAACAGAACAAGAGATTAAGCATAGTTCCTTGAAAAGAGGGTGATACAGTATTGAGATTCAAAACTGTACCATCATTTCTGAGATTGAATCTTTTGAAAATTTGAGTTGAAGAAAAAGATTGGGGTTTATATCTTTTAAAGCTAAAAGATGAAAACAATTAAAGAGTTTAAGGTTTTAAGTAAATCTCCCTTAAAATCTGTTTCTTCCGGCCGGGCGCGGTGGCTCAAGCCTGTAATCCCAGCACTTTGGGAGGCGGAGGCGGGTGGATCATAAGGTCAAGAGATCGAGACCATCCTGGTCAACGTGGTGAAACCCCGTCTCCACTAAAAATACAAGAAATTAGCTGGGCGTGGTGGCGCCTGCCTGTAATCCCAGCTACTCAGGAGGCTGAGGCAGGAGAATTGCCTGAACCCAGGAGGCGGAGGTTGCGGTGAGCCGAGATCGCGCCATTGCACTCCAGCCTGGGTAACAAGAGCGGAACTCCGTCTCAAAAAAAAAAAAAAAAAAAAAAAATCTGTTTCTTCCTATACAAGGAAACTGTTTACTTACTTTTATATACAATATGTAATTTATGGGACCACTAAAAATGTTAGAAATTGTAGTCATTGTGTGTGTGTGTGTTTGTGAGGGTGTGTAGTGAGACAGAATAAGAAGCAGAGAGAGTGACAAAAAGGTAAAAAGACTGTCTTCATACATTTCCTACTTCAACAGCAATACTAGGACCATATGTAATTGAGTTATCATTTCAGGAAAAGGAGGGTAGGTAAAATTTTCTTATGGAGCTGATGTAGTAATTTGATAATAATGTCTTATTTAAGAAAACAAGAGCATGTTGAAGATAATGTTTTCTTCTTTAAACAAAGCAAAACGAGATATATATTTCCTTTGCTCCTTCCTTCTCTCTCCTTCTGAACTATTTACCACAGGTTCTACAAGTTATATTGACTATAAATTTCCCTTTCCCTTGCCTTTCAGACTGACGCTGCTCTAATGTATGATGCTGTGCATGTGGTGTCTGTGGCTGTCCAACAGTTTCCCCAGATGACAGTCAGTTCATTGCAGTGTAATCGACACAAACCATGGCGCTTCGGGACCCGCTTTATGAGTCTAATTAAAGAGGTATGTCAGGAGAAGCACATTTGCCTTGTCTCTTTTATTGTCAAGCTGAATGAAATGAGATTATTGCAGTTTTTCTAGAAAGTGACCTTTTACTTTATCTTTAATTTAAATGTTGTCTCTTACTCCATCCAAATAAGCAAAATTAATATTTCTTTTACTAAATAATATCAAATAAAAGGTGGGGAAAATCCCATTATAAACAAAATATTTATCAAAATATCTATATGAAAGTTAGCCTTTACCTTTCTGAATCTTTACATGTATTACTTTTTCTTTATGTAGAGATCTAGATTAATAAAAGAATGTTTATGTTTTAGGCAACAAAATATAAATGCATTTCTAAAATAAATATCATTTGTACTACAGTAAAAGGATACCTAATTTGTGAGGCTTGAAATATACTTATTTAAATGAATTGTCCCTAAATATGTCTAGTTATTTAAATTATATTAACAGTTAACAAAAATAGAATACATGGATTAATCAAAGTGCAAAATTTACTTCATATTATATAATGCAATCATTCTTATGACCATTTATCATTTCTGATTATGTCTGTTATATATCAAGAGTATTCATAGCTAGAAAAAGAAAAATTTTTGAAGATTATATATACATATATATAAAAATACATATACATATATATTTTCCTGTCATTACAGAAAGTCCTTTGATAGCTTAGAATACTTTTCATAGATGAAAGTTTAGCTAAGCCTTAATCTTTGCATTGAAATATCACAGGTATTATTACCATATGAGATTTTTTATTAATGGCTTAAAATAAATCACCAGTTCATCTTGTAATAAATTATTCATCATGAAAATAAAAGTGCAAATAGGATCATAATTAAGTATCTCTGAATATCCATGACTTTTCTTTATCTAATTCTTATCAAATTCTCAGGTAGGTGAATTAATAGTTTCTGAACAATATGCTGTTTATTGGTTGCCCCATAGTCTAACATTTACTTCTGGTTCAAAACTGTGAGCTGTAGACATAGTCCACAGGTCTGACAAGATGAAGAATTGATTTTTCTGAACTCAGCACTAGATTATTGAGACCACGACATGTGTCAAGCAGCCCTAAAAGAAGCAGTTGTATGACATTCCCCATTGTATTTATTGTAGGGTGTAATTGAAAATCTTGTCCACTAAATCACAGTGTCCCCCTTATGAGGACCAACAGGAGAAATTTCTCTCAGGTCTCAGTGCCAGAAAAAGCTGTTTCTTCTGAGCAGCTGGTATGTCTTAAATTATAGAACCTGTATTTTGTGTTGTTATAATATTTTCTTCTTTGTTTTGGTTGCTAGGAAGTTCAGAATTGAATTTGTGATAAAATTATTTGTGAAATTTCTTCTTTATACATTTCTTTATGCTCTCTCTATCCCAGATTTGTTCTACTTTTTTATACTTCTGTTATTGTACTTCTTTTTTGTTTACTTTTATACTATTATGCATTTTTGTTAGTCACCTGAAATTTTTTCTTTGGAAGTTGTTAGGTTAATAATACATTTTCTTCCTTATTACAAGCCAGTGAACACATGTTTAACTTTAGCAAAGTCGTGTTACAATATGTATTTGGATATGTATTATAATTTTTCTATTTCATTTGTAATCATTAGCTGAAAACTAAGAATCCTGCACATAAGTCAAAATTCATATGGAGCCTAAGAAATTTAGTAATATTAATTCCCAGTCCTTATTGAAATATTACCCTTAATCTACTAAGATTTACTTCTTTTAGGTGTTGGTATATATTATCTTAAACACTTTGGTTGTGAGCATACATTTTATAATTTAAAATGTCCATATTTAACTATTTTTTTCTAAGCTATTTCCAAAAGACAAACAATGGAAAACATCTAATTTTGATTCTATACCAACAGATTGGGAAAAATTTTTACATTAAAAAAGTCCAGATATTTACTCACCTTTCAGGGTTGAACACATTATATAGCTGGATTATTATATTCCCATCTCCTACTACATGAAGAATATCTTGATATGAAGTAATTATACATTTTCCCTGGACTTACTTAAAGGAAAGGAAAGTAAAAGTTAATTATTCTAGGGGAAATGTATATAATTGAGTTAGCATAACATAGCTTTTCGTGGATTCAGTTTCTTTTATTGTAGTAAGTTTCTTTTCATATTATTATGAATTTAGTAGTGGGATTTTATAGCAGTAGTTCTATCTGTATTTGCCAGTGAGATATTCAGTATCTCATACACCACAAAAAGTAACTAAATTCTTCTTCCTTTTCTAAAAGAGGTTCACTACTTAAAACATAATAATACAATTTTTCTTAGAAAATTATAACTGGAAAATGCATTGTGTAAAATGAAAATTTTTTATTAAATTTCTACTGAAACTGGGATAATTTATTTGGAGAAACATCCTTTAAATTTCAAAAGAAAATTAAAATATTTTAAAAATCTCTAGCATTGTAAACTACGAAAAGTAATGAAAACGTTTCCTATTTTTTATAAAAAATTATTGATTCCCTCTTTCTTCACTTATTTATTATCAATTTTTTTTTTCTATTCCCATAGGCACATTGGGAAGGCCTCACAGGCAGAATAACCTTCAACAAAACCAATGGCTTACGAACAGATTTTGATTTGGATGTGATCAGTCTCAAGGAAGAAGGTCTAGAAAAGGTATTTGAATCAGCTACTTGCTTTAATTATAAAATGAAACTCAAAGAAGAAAGAAATATTTTCTCTTATAGTCACATTTCATTGACATTTAACTTTATTGAGTAACTCTAAAATATATATTTAATTTGTTATATTGAATATAATAATTGACAATTAGGATTCAAGGATAATGGGTATTTTAAGACAATTTTATATTTTATTTATTTTATTTTCTTACTAGAGGTTTTTCTGATGCATATGATCTTTGAAATGCATATAATCTTAACTAGTCTTGAGGTTTAATATAGCAATTAGAAAATATTTGGCTTAATATAGGTCTTTATACATGCAGCTTCTAATCACATGTGGTTGCATAGACTTTCCCAATTGGAGCAGGTCATTAAAAATAGATATAAAAGTATGTTTACATATCTGAGTGATATTTAAGTAAAATATTTGAATTAGTGTATGCACAGCAAATTGGGTATGCACGTAAATATAACACATCACACTGAATCTACTTTACTTGATTCTGTTGCTAGGGACTGAGGCAAAGTACCCACAGAATTTGGGTATGTGCATACTTTATGAATATTTTAGTGTGAATTTTCTTAAATACATATGTGTGTATTTAGATATTTTTCTGATAGATTGATAATTGACAAGGTATTTTAATAAGAATTTGAGAAAAGTTATATTTGACTGAGATAATATTGGTTTGAAGATAGCAAGCTATCTTATATTGCACCTAACAATGAAACACGGAGCTGTATTTCTAGATAGAAACTGAAGTCCTAAGAAGGGATTTTTTTTTTTTAGCCTGGAAGATAACAGCATATTTGAATGCTGATTTAAATAATCCAGGAGAGAGTAAAATTACATTTTTGATAATGCCCCCAAGACAGTTTAAGTACATTATGACCAACCGATGACTCAAATTGATAGGGCTGTTACCTCCTGCCACTTAGGATTTCAGACTGTACACTTTGTCAAGACCATGCAAAGTCAGGAATATTTTATAATAAACTGGAACCCAAATATTCATGAGATAGTCCCTTCCTAACTACTTCACTCTCAAGATGAGAAAATTAGTCTGTGACCAAGACTGGCATTGATAATGGTGGAGTTTAGTAAGCTCTTAAGGAGTTTATTTTGCTGTTTATTGGAGATGTTATTACCTTATTTTTAAAAAATATCCAAGTAACTAGGATGAACTTGGACCACTGCTGACATTTTAATACATCTGCATAAAAATGGCAATGCCTTTACGATAGATCTTTTCCTGTCTTGGATTGAAAATAAATAAAAACATTACAAAATTTCTCTGTGCTCCATTGTGACATAGATACGCCTGACTGTCATGATTATCAAGTACATATAATGATCTGTCACATTGATAAGCAAGGTAAAACAGTGTGAGTTGTAGAGTTGTGCATGTTGCTCTGAAATTTTATAAATATTTCACATTATTTCATAAAATCTGAAAATTTATTTTGCTGAATTAATTGCATACAGTCCTTATCCTAAGGGGCTTTTCATGTGCAGTGATAATACATATTTGTGAATAAATACTATCAAAAACCATGTTTCAAGCTTCCAAAAGACCAATAAAAATCTATTTTCTGATAAAAGATATAATTAGTCAAGAGTCATAGTCAATTGAGTACTTAGAATTAGCCTTTGAATATGTTGAATTATTGATTGTTAGAAATTGAGTCATTTTAGAAGGAAGTAACAGTATGGGGAAACACAAAACATAGCATTTGATTTTATTCTTTACACACATATGCACACACACACACAAACACACACAAACACACACACACACACACACACACACACACACACACACAGAACAAGTGGGAGACAAAGGTAAAGTGCTAGATTTTAGTCATAAAATGAATACCATGCCCAAGATATTTGCAAGGTATTAGAATAACATGTGAGTTTAAGGAAAGAATAGCCCAGAGGTCTGTGGGTTACTTGGGAAGATAATATAGTTTAGAATCATTTTAGTAGGAGGCCATGAATTTAAAACCATTCTAATAGGAAGTGGAGGTGACCATCAGCAATGTTGTTAGTTCAAAGACTAGCAAGTATTTAGACTATGTTTTTAAGGAAAAATGGAGGAGCCAGTCAGGAAAAGGGGGAATACCAAGGATAAAAGCATAACTAAAATATTGGAAAACAAATTAGCAAGTAGAAGGATTAATAGTAGAAAGAAATTGGCATAAATCTTCCTCTGAAAAGACGCGTGAGGTACTGAGGATGGGTGAAGGTAAGTTAAAGAGAAAGGGAACAAAAAGTTCACATCAAATGTTTTCAATATCCTAGAAAATTTGTACATCAACTCATCAGCTAAAGGACAGAGGTAAAGTTTAATCAGTTCTTAAGAAAAATTGAAAATGCCATTTTGACAGACTTGATTTTGACTTAGAATGAATAAAGTGCTGTTAAATAGCAAAAGGTTCTCATTTTAAATTTAGTAGAATGGTTAAGAGCTCAAGGTCTAGATTCTGACAGAATTGGGCTCAAATTCTCACTCTGCCCTTTACTTTTTATGGACAAATGTATTAATCTCTCTAAAACACAAGGTCTTACACTGAATAATGAGGCAATAGCAGTTATCTGCCTCATGAAGACATGAAGACTGACTCTTATTGACTTTACTTTTTTCCCCCTGGAAAGTATAATTACCAACTCATAGACGGAAAATATAGCATTCCTACCTTGGTAGAATTCAGTTTAGAAGGGCCAGTAGATGGTGATCCAAGAGGCTTGAATTTCAATTCCGATTCCATCAAAACTAAATGTGTGAACTTCATCCTGCCACCCAATTTATCTGTGTCAAACTCCTCATCTCAAAAAAAAAAAAAAAAAAAAAAAAAAAAAAAAAAAAAAAAAAAGTGGAGGAGAAATGGCTGCCCTCTTGGACACTCTGAAGTAAGAATACTATGCCCTCTAAAAGAACCGGAAAGTAACATCTTGAAAGAAGCTGAGACTAGAAATTTAATCATTAAAATTTAACAATTATGTTCTATCATGACTGAGAGACAAAAATAAATAAGGAAAACATGTACAGTGCTAGCTTTACCCCTCTTCTCATGCCCATTGCTTTTTCTTCATTCTCACTTTGTACTGCTCATTTTAGACTAGCACACTTCATTTGTCAGGTTAATCCTCTAACACACATAGAATGAATGTCTATTTTATGCTCTCTTGAAGGTTATAGTCTAGAAGAGGAAATCTGCCAATAATAAATAGACTCAATAGACTTATCGGATTATAAGACCAGGCAGTAATAAGTGCTGAAAAGAAAGTTACTCTATGTCACTGGCATGATAGATTTTAAATAATTTTCTGAAGCATGAACTTTAGGAGTAAAACATTTAACAGGAAGGAAGTCCATGCTTCTGTTGTTTACAACTGTGGAGCAGACAAACCAGGGATAAATAGGTATGCTTCTGATGAATGGGAAAAGGTGGGCCATGCTCAGGTGTCTGAGCCTGGAGTGGAGATGGACATCCTTTCTACATAGATAGTGTTCATAGATCAAATGAATTATTTCTACTCTATAATAGTGAAAGCCTTAATTGGAATCTAGCACAATTAACTGTGGTCCCCAAAAGATATCTAATACCATATATACAGCCAGCCACTTCTGTCCAAACAAGCTCTCTGGGACCATGGCAGTGCCTTCATTGGAGTAGGGAAGGGGAAGAAGGTGGAAATACTGTAGGTGCTATTACAGACTGTGTCTAGCTCAGGCAATACTTTTGCCTATGAGAGCCTGGTATTGAGTGCTCAAGAACAGGAAAAGGAAAACAGAAAGTGATTTTCCCAGCTTTAATTATTCTGATCAGAACCACAGCAGCCAGGCAGATATTTTTTTTAAAAAAATTGACCCGTCATCCCTCTGTTTAAATGCTTTCATAGGTTTTCATTGTATAATGAATAAAATCCAAAGCACCAGTGACCTCTCATCATGTTCTCAGATATTTTCTTATGCTCTACCTACAGAGTTTTCATCCCCCACTCCCTCAGGAAAACAAAGTTTTCTTATTACTTTGGCATAACTAATAGAAACAGTTTTCCCAGCTGGAATATCCATTCCCAGTGCCATTGCTTGGAAAATTACTACTCATCCTGGTGGTATCATCTTAAATATTACTTGTTTAGATAGGCCTCCTCTAAGTCTCTAATCAAATTTAAATTGCTCATAATGCTTTGTACTTTATTTCTGACTCTATCAAAGTGCATAATTATTTATTCATGTGAACTTTATAAAAAGGGCTATCTCCTTAGCCAGAGTGCAAGACATATTAGATGGAAAATATATGCTTCTTTTCCATCATTATATATTAAGGCTTTGCAAAGTATCGTTTGTCTTCAGGACAAAGTATGTACTCAAGAAATATTTGTTGACTGTTGAATGAATAAAGGATCTTTATGGAAACTATAACAGAATGCTTACTCAAGTGTCGGAGGCAGAGTTATTTTCCTGTAGCACAGTTTGTTGTTTTTCCTAGCTTTGCTCTATACCTTCAATGTGAGAACAGGGAAAGACAATAGCCAAGGGGTCAGTGGGTTGGGGTCATGGGTCAATGTTTCAAGTGGGTAAGGGATTTTAGAGTGCAGAAGGTCACCCTGAAGTCTGAACTTGCAAGGATCCACATTGCTTCAGTAGCAAATCTGGCCCCATTCATGGCACAATTAAAAACTCTCCGACTCTCCAGTATTATATTAAAGAGTAAAAATCATTATTCTATTTATACATTTTCCTTTTTTGTCCTTATAAGTTGACAGGATGGAAATAAACAAAGCCCATCCAGTTGAGAACAAGCAGAAGTTACTGTTCAGTGCTTACTACAGGAAGGGAGATGGTCATCATCATTTGAGTTAAACAGGGATTCAAAGGCATGACGGGAAGTGGAAAAGTTTTATAGTGGAAATAAATGAAGATCTCATGTGTGCTATGACATGAGGTTGTTGGCATGAGGAAACTGGAGGTGGTCTAACTA